AGGGCGTGGTAGGAGGTGTTTTTGAGAATTCTCAAAAACACCCTGCAAAATCGGGGAAAGGACAGGGCGTGGTAGGAGGTGTTTTTGAGAATTCTCAAAAACACCCTGCAAAATCGGGGAAAGGACAGGGCGTGGTAGGAGGTGCGGGAACTTGGGAGGGTGAGTGGAAGTATGCGATGCCTTGAACAATCACCCCCTGTCTTGGCATGCATGCGTTTCCCAACAACTGAGATGCCGAGGTGACAGCAAGAAACGTGAAGCCAGTGGCTATAAGCGGTAGCTCCTTGTAAGCGCGGCCGATGGATCACTGGGTAAGTGGTGCTTTGACCGGAACCCGACGATGAGACGCACCTGGTAGGTGGGGATGAGCAGCCCTGCCCCGGACGTGACAGCAAGGCACGTGAAGCCGGTGACTATAAGCGGCAGCTCCTTGTAAGCCAGGCCGATGGAGCGCATGAGGTACTGCCGGGGGGTGAGCACCTTCTCCACTCGGATGCCCTTGTCTCCTCTTAGGGCATTTTCGTCTAACACTTCCTCGTGCTCCCCCTGGTGACTGGCGTTGCTGGGTCGAGGTTTGCTGGAGTGTTTTGGGGGTAGGGAGGTGGGGAGACGAGACAAGACGAGACGAGCGCATGAGGTACTGCTGGGGGTTGAGAACCTTCTCCACTCGGATTCTACCCTATGGGCATTTTCGTCTAACACTTCCTCCTGGTGATTGGCATTGCTGGGTCGAGATCTGCTGGCGCGTCTTGGGGGTAGGGAGGTGAGGAGAGGAGAGGAGAGGAGAGGAGAGGAGCGCATGAGGTACTGCCGGGGGGTGAGAACCTTCTCCACTCGGACTCCCTTATCCCCTCTCAAAGCCGTCTGATCCAATCCAAGACTTCCTCGTGCTGCCCCTGGTGAGAGGAGTTGCTGTGTCGAGGTCTGCTGGTGCGTTTAGGGGGTAGGGAGGTGGGGAGACGAGAGGAGTGGAGCGCATGAGGTACTGCTCCACTCGGATTCCCTTGTCTCCCCTTAGCGCATCTTCGTCTAACACTTCCTCGTGCTGCCCCTGGTGAGAGGAGTTGCTGGGTCGAGGTCAGCTGGTGTGTTTTGGGGGTAGGGAAGAGGGGAGACGAGACGAGAGGAGGGCATGAGGTACTGCCGGGGAGTGAGGACCTTCTCCACTTGGGTGCCCTTGTCCCGTCTAGAACCTCCTCGTGCTGCCCCTGATGATGGGTGCTGCTGGGCCCAGAGGAAGACTTCTTTCCGCTGCCACTGCTGTGCGCGTGTATGAGAGGTAAGGGGGTGGGGAGTGGAACTACTTTTGAGGCGCCTCAAAAAGTGCCGCCCCTGGTGATGGGTGCTGCTGGGCCCAGAGGAAGACTCCTTTCCGCTGCCACTGCTGTGCGCGTGTATGAGAGGTAGGGGGGTGGGGAGTGGAACAGAGAGGAGCGCATGAGGTACTGTCAGGGTGTGTGTGAGAACCCTTTCCGCTTGGATGCCCTGATCGCCTCTTGAAGGTGGCTCATCCAACACCCCCCTCTCCTCCTCCTCCTCCTCCTGCTGCTGCTGCTGCTATTGCTGCTGGTGGCTGGTGCTGCTGGGTCGAAGAGACTTCTTCTTCTCACTGCGCGTGCGTGGTGTGGGTGTGCACGTGCTTGTGCGCGCGCGCGCGCGCGCGCGCGTGTGTGTGTGTGTGTGTGTGTGTGTGTGTGTGTGTGTGTGTGTGTGTGTGTGTGTGTGTGTGTGTGTGTGTGCATGCGCGTGTGGGTGCGTGCGTGCATGCGCGCGTGCGTGCATGCGCGCGTGCGTGCGTGCATGTATGCGTGTGTGTGTTTTTCAGAGAATGGAGGGTGGGGAATGGAGATGACGGGAGACAGTGCGTTAGAGCAAACAAACAAACAGTCCTTAATCAAACGAGGATCGGCCAGACACAGCTGGGCTTTTGAGAAAAAATCAAAACCAGCCGAGCACCCCAACCAGATTCGGAGACGTTGCCGATAGGGGGTGAACTCGGGAGAGAGAAAACGCCCATGAGAGATTACGAGGCCCCACTAGCCCGCTTTTGAGTCGACTCAAGCACACCCCATCAGACTCGGAGAGGTTGCCAACAGGGGGTGAACTCGGGAGAGAGAAGACGGCCAAGAGATGTTGCCAACTGCCGGGAACCCACTAGCCACGGTCACACCGTCCCCACCGTCTCCAACGAAAGAATGTTGCCCAGGAGCGTTGGCTCCGCAATGATCCAAAGAATGTCAGAGAGCTGTCAGAGAACGGTGTGCTGTGCAAGACCCCATGAGCCAGCCCTCAGCCCCCTGGCTAACCTGGTAACGCCGTGTGAGCCGCCAGCAGAGGTAGTCACTTCCACTCCGGCTCCATTTTCTCCCTCAGACGACCTCCTCCTCGCCCCATGCACGTGCCCGAGCCCGTGTGCATGTGCATGTGCTGCGTGCTCCGCCTTCTTCTCCCTTAGCGCCAGTGCCCGCCCCAGCACGCCACTGGACTCGGAGAGGTTCCCCAGGAGCGTTGACTCGGCGTTGATCCAGAGGATGGCCGACCCCATGAGCCATCCTTGGAGCAACTCGTTGGGGAAGGCGAAGTTGACGCACTTGGCGCCCACGTACACCTGCGCGGGAAGAGGGGTGAGGGGGGAGAGGGAAGAGGGGAGAGGGGAGAGGGGAGAGGGGAGAAGGGAGAGGGGAGTGGGAAGAAGGGAGAGGGAGTGGGGAGAAGGGAGTGGGGAGAAGGGAGAGGGGAGTGGGGAGAAGGGAGAGGGGAGTGGGGAGAGGGAGAGGGGAGTGGGGAGAAGGGAGAGGGGAGTGGGGAGAAGGGAGAGGGGAGTGGGGAGAAGGGGGTGGGTTTTCCCTGACCCAGGGCACAGCAGAGCCGATGAGTCAACCCTGCAGCAGCTCGCTGGGGAAGGCGAAGCTGACGCACTTGGCGCCCACGCACACCTGGGAGGGAGGGAGGGAGGGAGGGAGGGAGGGGCGACGGGAAGAAGGGAAAGAAGAGAGAGAGCTTAGCATGCGTGGCACCACATTCTTCTGCCCATGAACTACGAGACCTCAGCGTTGATCAGCGTTGATCATGAGAATTTGAGAGCACAGCCGGCAGCACCATGAACCACTCGCTCGCAAGGAATTTGAAAGCGATGCACTACAAGAATGTGCAGCAAGAAAAGTTGTGAGAGCCATACGGACGTGGAAGAAAGTGCAGAGGGGTGGAAGGGAGGCGAAGACAGTCACTGTATTTAGCCGACACATTACTCATCCATTCCTTAAAGCCTGGTGACCTTTGAGTCGGCTCAAAAGTCACGGGAAACATGTACCAAGGTGGAAGAATGTGCCATGAACAGGATCTCGGGTGTAATGTACGGACCTGGAAGAAGGTGCAGAGGAGGAAGGAGGCGAAGACGGTCACGTCCTTAGCTGACACGTTGCTCATCCACTCCTTAAAGCCCTGGTCCTCCTCATCCTTCTTCCACGATATCACCTCGTGCTTCTTCTCCTCCTCCTCATCCTCCTCCTCTCTTTCCCCTTCTTTTTTGTCCTTCTCCATCGGTGTCCCACGCACCAGGAGCGGAGCAGTCAACCCCCCGTTTATATCCTGAGACCCTCTCCTTGCTGCATTGGCTCCTCCTGACCCCCCTCCTCCCTTCCCCTTCTCTTCCTTCCTAGGGATTTCTAGCTCCCAGCCTTCCTGCCACGCGTACCGAGCGGCTATTTCTGATAGGATTGACAGAGAGATTGCCCTGATTATTGCGATCAGGATAAGATCGAGGGAGTCTGACTTGAAGCTGAGGAGGCTTTTAACGAATTCGCTGAAGGAGCTTAAATCGGGGGTCCAGACGGCGTTGTGGAGAGAATAATGCAGAGCCTGGACAAGAACGAAAACGAGGAAGAAAAAGAAGCAAAAAAGGAAGAAGTGAATAAAGCCATGAGGAATGCGAAGATTCACAAATCAGATAAGAAGAAATGGAACGAATCGACGGCACGACTGGCCTCTCGTGCTTTCGTAACAAACAGCCCTGTCCCGGTGCCTCGCTATAGAGTCGAGATCCCCTGCTATGGCGTCGCTAAGGTGCTGCACTCACTAGGGTGAAGGCAATATCGATTCCGATAGCGACGAAGAACGCCACTCGCGCCCACTTGACGTGCCTCGCTGCAGCGATCGGGTCCGTCGTACCGACGTATTTAAGCGGCTGCTCTGACACCTTCGCCTTGGCCTTCGCCTTCCCTAACTTCCCCATCTCAACCCCCCGTCAGCCCCAACACACCTGGTTAATCCCAACCCCCTGCCAATGACGACACCCGGTAAATCGTAACACCCAGTTGAGCTCTACACCAAGGCGTGGCCAGCTCGGGATGAGCGTGAAAAGAAACCTAAATTTGACTTAGGAAGGATTCAGAGGCGGATTCGGTAGAATACTCGAAGCGCTCTAACGAAAACGGAAAGCTGAGAATGACGACGCACTAGAACGTGTCGCACGCACACGAACCCTGACTACAGGAAGATCGCCTTCGCCTAGTCCGACTGCACTAATCTATTCGACTACCATGAAACACAGACTGAGGAAAACTTTGCCTGATAATAGAGCAGAATTCCAGAGCAGAGAGAACAGAGAGAAGACTCACCGAAAAACACAGACTGCAGTAAACGCAGAACTGGTCTTCTGGGGAGAAAAGTGTTGAAACAAGCGATTACATTACAACCATGTCTGAAAGGTGAAGGAAACCTCGAAGTTGTCGAAAGCATGGACGGTCTTCGATCCGACGGCGGTAAGAGGAACAACGCGACGGTTTCGATCGCCTGAGTCTCACGGATGCCGTGATTGCCATGCCGGAACCATGGATGCACGACACAGAGCGGAGATGAAGCGCGTTGAAGTGGTGTGGTCCAATAGCAGCGGCGTACGCGGAGAGATGAAACTGGCGCGAGGGAGGCTGGCGAAAATTTGCTTCCGTCAGTAACTTTGTTGCTACAGCTTTTCACACGCGTTGCAGTTCTCTTCGGTTCACACATCCTGGCTTTTGAGGTGGAGCATTTTCTATCTAAACATTCTACTTAAGCAAAGAGGCACAAACCAGGTACATTATCTTGCCATACTGAATATATAACTGGTACAACAAGAAGCCGCACAGATTTTAATGGCCTGGCCGTGAAGTGTACCGGGCTAGGTGCAAGCCTGACACATCCCATACAACCACCTTCCCATCTAAACCTGCCGAAACCGAAAGCCAATAAGGGGTAGGAGAGGTGAGGAGACGCTCCATGATTCGTAAAAAAGACTGATGGAAGTTGGCAACAGAAGGTCTTTATATTGAGGTAACCATAAGAGGCAAGCTATGCCCGACACCCGTGCAGTGCTATGCCTGGATGTGCCAGGCACAACCACATAAAGGTGGATGTGCCATTGGATGGGCGGTGCTGCCAGTGCTTGAGGAGCAGACTTAAATCGCCATAGAAACATCTGCCGATTTCTGCATGTGTAGGTTGTCAGGATATACATTTGTAGTGGTGCGCACCTGAGGTAGAGAATTGCTGAATGATGGAATCATCTGCTGATCCCAGTGGTCGGATGCAGCTGCAGAAAGGAATTGCAATTCCACAATGATGACATGGAAAGTGGGTGAATGAGAAGAAAGGCGGTGAAAGAGGCTACAGAGGCCCATGTCAGAATGGTAACGCAGAATTTTAGTTTCCGGGTCAATTCACGGCAAAAACGGCACGGAAGCGAAAGCAGGACTTGCATACCATGCAACCGCGAGACTTCCACGATGTGATGCATGGACGATGTGATGCATGCACGATGTGATGCATGCACGATGTGATGCATGCACGATGTGATGCATGCACGATGCGATGCATGCACGATGTGATGCATGCACGATGTGATGCATGCACGATGTGATGCATGCACGATGTGATGCATGCCCGATGTGATGCATGCACCATGTGATGCATGCACGATACAGCTCTCAAGGACAAATACATCCACCGCGTGAATCTTTCTTGCACACAAAACGACAACTCACGTGATGCAGTCCTGGTGAACAGTGCTCGGTCCTTTAGAGAGCTCAGAGTCGGGATTGGAAGGAGCGTTGGGAGCAGCGTCGGTCAACGAGGAGCGGAGAGAATTGCCCCGCTCCATTGACCGACCGAATGGGTCCTTCTGAAAGGGACACAAGGGGGAGGGGAGAGGAGAGGGGAAAACAGGAGACGAGGGGGGAGATACACGATGAGAGAAGGGCAAGCAGCAGCTTCAGGTGTAGAGGCCTTGAGGGCAGCTTCAATAACGAGAACTGCCGTCTTTGGAGTTCTCTAGAGACCACTGCAAAATGGTTTTGTTTGAAGGACCTGCAAAGGGGATGCAATGAGAGGAGGAGGGGAACAAGCGAGGAATGCGACTGGGAGAGGAATACGGAAATGGAATACAAGCGAGAAATGGGAGAAATACAAGCGAGGAATGCGACTGAGAGGAATACAAGCGAAAAATGGGAGGAAGAGGTGGGGAGCGGCGAGGGACAAAGCACACAAGAGAGAAAGAGATGGAAGGGGAGGAGAGCGGGGAGCCGGGAGCGGGATTTTTTAGGCGCCTCAAAACTAGACTCCTATCACGCGGTTTTGAGGTGCCTCAAAACAAGAGGTGGGGAGCGGCGAGGGACAAAGCACGCGAGAGAGAAAGAGATGGAAGGGGAGGAGAGCGGGGAGCCGGGAGCGGGAAGCGGGGGGGTGGGAGGCGGAGGAAGAGTGAAGTTACCGCAGAGAGAGCAGTGCCAGTGGCAGTGGAGGAAGGTTCCTCAGCGTCATCCAATACTCTCACAAACGTCCTGATGGTGGGAGGATGCAAGGGATGGCAGGGGGAGGTCAGGGGAGAGGAAACAGGTGGGTGAGGAGTGGCATTAGCGGACGGTTCCTCTGTGTTCTCCAATGCTCTCACTAACGTCCTGACTGACAGAGTTGGGAGGAAAGAGCGGAAGTGGGCCAGGTGGAATGGCATGGGATAATCCGTGTGTAATGAGTCTATTTTTGAGTCGACTAAAAAATAGACTCATTACCCAGTGCTCTCACTAACGTCCTGACTGAGAGAGTTGGGAGGAAAGAGCGGAAGGGGGGGGGGGAGAGGTGGAATGGCATGGGATGCATTGCAAGGCCTGCCTTGAACGGATGGCATAGACTTTATTGCTTGGCATGGCGTATGCGATTTTTGAGTCGACTCAAAAATCACCTACGGATGGCATAGACTTTATTGCTTGGCATGGCGTATGGAGGCCTCCGATCTGTACACGCACCATGTGCCATTGGCGTCGGCACTAAAGAGAATGGGGTTGTAGTCAAAGCCAGCAGCCACAAGCAACCGATCCGAGAGGAAGAGCACCTGACAGTGCATGGAGGAAAGGAGAGGATAAGAGGGTGGGGGGGGGAGGGGGTTGAGATTCGAAGCGCCTCCGAATTGGACTATTTTTTAGGCGCCTCAAGAATTGGACTGTGGCAAGAGAGAAGAACACCTGGAGGTGCAGAAAGGGATGAGAACTGTTCGATCCTGAGACAGTTCAGATTACACTAAGGGAAGGGAGACGAAGCTGGATGCAAGGAGGGTATCTTAATATGAAGGAGAATGGAGGATGGCTACCACTTACACTTAGGTCCTGAAGTGGCAGGTAGCGGGATGGGGTGGAGAGTGAGAACGGTGAGGGAGGGAGTGGTAAGGGTTGGGAAAGGGAGAAACTTACATCGCGCAGTGGGAGGTATCGGAGAGAGATGGAGTGGAGGGTTAGCGAGGGACCGACATCGTTGATGAAATGAATGGTGGAGTCGTGGCCTGCATGCATGCATGCACGGCGAGCCAGTGGGGGGGTGCATGCATGTGTGGTGGGCCAATGGGGGGATGCGAGCATGCATGGTGGGCCAATGGGGGGATGCGAGCATGCATGGTGGGCCAATGGGGGGATGCGAGCATGCATGGTGGGCCAATGGGGGGATGCGAGCATGCATGGTGGGCCAATGGGGGGGGTGCAAGCAAGCATGTGAAAAGCACAGAGAAGGAAGGGAATGCAAGGTGAGGGAGGGACCGGCATGTCGTTGATGTGATGAAGTGAGTAGTGGAGTCGTGGCCGGCATGCATACGAATGATGATACTCGTCATGTAAGGATGTGCTACAAATGAATGGAAGATGTGGCGGGCACTGGGCAGGGACCAAGCAGAGAGCGAGTTTCCAAGTGGAAGTGCAGGAAGAGCATGATGCGATCTACTTACCATGCGAATGGGTTTTTGAGAATCCTAAAAAAACTAACACAGAGAAAAGGGCTATCTCACCAACGAAGGCGAGGTTAGCCCCTGACGGCGACCACTTGGCTCCGAAGGTCCACCCAAAAGCCAGGTCGAGTTGCAGTAGTTGCTGGAAATGGGAGATCGGAGGATGAAGGAACGCAGGGAGGGAGGGGGGGGGGGGGGGGGGGGGGAGGGGAGGGGGGGGAGAGTTCCCTCCAATGCTGGTCTGTGAGATTCCAGCCCTTGGACTGGACCAGCAATCCAGGTGAATCAGCTTTAGCTCATTCTTCCCTCGCCACCTCCAAATCAATCCCATCCAACCTACCCCCTTTCTCTTCACAAACCTCCCTCCCATACTCATCCCCTTGTCTCGCATTCCCTAGTAGCTCACCCCGCCAAAATTTCCCAAGAATCCACTGGAGGAAGAATTTTCCGGGCTGGGCAATAGGGAGAAGCGGCACCGGTGCATAAAAACCCACAACTCGCCAAACCCCCAAACCTTGCCCGGCTTCCTCTCTTCGCCAAACTTCAATGAGAATCCGCCAGATGAAGAACCTTCCGAGCTGGGCAGTAGCCTGTAGGGAAAAGCGGCACTGATCCACAGAAAACCATAGCTCACCAAACCGCAAAGCCACCATCCAGCTTTCTCACCTCGCCAAACTTCCCTGAGAATCCGCCAGAGGAAGAACTCTCCGAGCTGGGCAGTAGGGAAAGCGGGGGTTGGAGAACAACAGGACAAGGGGACGAGGGGACGAGGGGATCAGCAAGAAGATAGAGTTTGCAGATGGTTAAGTAAGACGTGCAGCTGTGTGAGAGCAGTGGCTTTGTTAGTTGAACGTATTCAGGAACAACCTGTTCGGAGCTAAGCAAATGGAAAGAGTACCTCTTTGAGTCAACCCCTTTAATGGCACCTTTTGGGGTCAACCCCTTTAATGGTTGCAGAGAATATCCGGCACTTGTTGTCCGTGCATGTGGTCGCCAGTAGCAGCTGCCAGGGAAAATGCATGGCGGAGGAAGGGTTTGGGGGGGGGGGGATTGGGAGAGGGGGGGGGGGGAGGGGATATCGTTAAAAAATCAATGTTGTTTAACAGGAATAACAGTACTCTGAAAGGGTCCAAAGAGACGCTTTATGTCTAGGGTTTTGGTGGTATTCAAACAAGTTTAGTTTTGAGGCGCCTCAAAACCAAACACATGTCTCACATTGTTTGGGTGCCAGGAAACACTGGTAACAGATGAGGCATGCTTCTTCCGAATCACCTTGCTCACCCACCTGCGAACACTCTCGCATGCACACGAAGACAGACACAAACACATGCACACGCAAGCAAGCACATACCCACACACGCACGCACTCACACACATACACAGTGCAATGTGCTTATGTTACATAATTGTCTTCACATTTGCTTTTAACATTAGTATCTCTTGTCACCAGCTCTGTTCATTATAGTCACATACCAGCTGTCCTCTTCATGGCTGTCGCATACCAGCACTACTCTTACAGTCACATACCAGCTGTTCTCTTCATGGCTGTCACGTTACAGTCACATACCAGCTGTTCTCTTCATGGCTGTCACGTTACATTCACATACCAGCTGTTCTCGTCGTCATAGTAGCACACGCTGACAGTCTTGGACCCACTTCCCACAGCAAACTTGTTCTCTGCATGGCCAGAATATGAGCATATAAATCGATAAATGAGCAGCATAAATGTACAGTGTCGAAAACAAGCTGTACACCAATCATTCATGAGCACAGAAATCGAACATCATTCATTCAGAAATTGAAACATTGCTCTGGACTTCACCTGCTGCTCCTCCTCCTCACCTTGGGGACTCCACGCAACGCAGAGAGCCGCTCTGTTGAGTCTGAGGATGACCAGCGCCGCTCTCCACTCCTCCTCCACCCAATTCCACACGTAGCTGCAAGAGAGGGAGTGGAGCAAATGGTGGGGAGAGAGAAGAGGGGAAAAGAGAGGGGGGGGAAGGGGGGGGGAGGGGTAGCCGGCCCTATGACTAGAGCCGTTCTGTTGAGTCTGAGGATGACCAGCGCCGCTCTCCACTCCTCCTCCACCCAGTTCCAGACATAGCTGCAATGCAAGTGTGGACGGGCGGGGAGAGGGGGATGAAGGGCGGGGCTGAGTTGGTAAGCTGAGTCTATAGAATGGAAGTTAAGGGATGATGAATAATGTTACAACGTGACAAAGGTGAAAGCAAAGGGAGAGGGAAAGAGGAGCGGAGAGACAAGAAGAGGAAGCCCCAGTGAGGATAAAGGGGCAAGGAAAAAAAACTGCCATGCATTCCCCACTCACGCATTGCGGTCGTGCGAGCATGTGACGATGCGGTTCTTCTTGGCGCCCCAATCCACGCCTGATATGAGGTCCTCATGCTGCCATGCCATACCATGCCATGCCATGCCACACCATTTATGAAGTTCGTTCGGGGAGGGTGGGATGGACGAAAGTGGGAATGGGAAAAAAAATCGGTTGGGAATCGACTTTTGAGGCGCCTCAAAAACTTATGAGGCGCCTCAAAAATTGGTTGGGAATCGTAAAAGCAATCCCCAAAGTGACTGTAGATGGAGCCGTGGAGGGCAATTCCCAAAGCCATCTGGAGCCGCTATTCTAAAAAAAGTGCATATTGGTACTCCAGGGTTTCGAACCTACAAGCAATTTGACTATTCCTCCATGCATGTACCTTGGATAACGTGTGCAGCTTCTCCCACTGTTTCTCGTCATCCGCGATATTAGCTTTGAATATCCACAGCTCCGATGTTCGCGGGCTAACGGCCACCACTGAAACCGGCAATTGGATTAAGGGAGAGAGAGAGAGAGAGAGAGAGAGAGAGAGAGAGAGAGAGAGAGAGAGAGAGAGAGAGAGAGAGAGAGAGAGAGAGAGAGAGAGAGAGAGAGAGAGAGAGAGAGAGAGAGAGAGCGCAGTGTTAGAGATTGTAGCGAAGAAGAGGACAGTCAGTTGAGTGCTATACTATGTTAGGTTACTACCAGACTCTTCAGTCGTGCTGTTGTCCCCGATACATAAGGTTGAAGGTACAGCCCGATCAAGACGAGGAGATTACTGTAACCGAATCGTACTGAAAGTCACTAAATGTCGCTAAATGTCGTTAGATGTCTCTAAATGTCGCCGAATTCACAGAATGCACCTGAAACGCTGAATGACACCTATTGTCACTGAACGTCCGTCGACTACTAGAACCGCTAATGTGCAGGGAGCAGCGGAGGTATTACGCCGGAAACATTGCAAGTAAGGGAGCACTAAGTCAACTGCCAAAGTACGAACGCGCGTAAAAGACCATCCCAAAGTTGACATGCTTGCTACTCAACTGGACATGTTGCCATTCCACGCGTGGCAATATATCGACGATGCTAAGCTGTGAGGCGACGCGTCCGCCATGGCGAAGCAGCGTGTCAAGGAAAATCAGACACGAGACTCGCAACAGATGCTTCTGGTGGCTCCCCAGCCGACACGCGGCGAGAAATGCGGCTGATGGTCAGGAAGGGTGGCTGGAGCTGTGTCAGAAAAATGATCAAGTTCGATACAAGTTCTGTACAATACAGCACCTGGAAATCTGTTCCTCACCTCTTCAATATGAGCAGTATCCTTCTGACCCTGAAAATTACGCCCTGGATGAGCTGAGTTTGTCGCCATCCAATGAGCTGCTGGGAAGACACTTCGTCACCTCTTCGGATGTGGAAGAAGATCAGTCGCCGCAAGGAGGTAACCAGGCCTGGACAAAAACCGACCAGAAGGCTGTTGCTGATTCAAACCTGGTTTGGGCTTACTGGATGCGTTTATGAAGAGACTCGGTAGAGCTTATCGGATCCAATTTCTGTAAACCATTTTCAATGCACCTGTAAAACGCATTTCAGGAGGAAGCGAGATAACTGTACGGGGCATAAAAGGTGGTTTGAAGATGATTCGTGTGCGGGTTCCCCGAGATTCCCCTGGCTAGGCTGCTGCCAACCTAGCAAGGGATGGCCTGTCACCTGACCAGTTCACTGCTGACGCGTACCTTGATGGAGAAAGTGGGCCCGAAAAGGTCAACTGGAAAGATCTATTTTCCGTTGCTGGCCCTGGAAATCGGAAAGTCCGTGAGGTAAGGATCACGTGGCACTCTGTAAGAGGGCAAGTTTCAGGTTCCCTCCTACCACACTCCCCCGTTTCAAGCCCATCTCGGTTTTCAAGGGCAGCATCGCACGTGAGGCTGTCCGTTAGATTGACCTTGGGCAACCGAACAAGCAAAGCAGTGCTTGATGAGAATTTTGCTTTTCGCTGCGTTGGCAAATGACAGTAGCCCAGTATGCGCTGGACATTCCCTGACAAACGAAAAAACTCCATCCAACCAATAACTGATCTCCCACCTGCCCCAAACTCACATAAACCTTATCACGAAACCACTGTCACTGGCCCCTGACGCACCGCGGGCAGGTTTGCATTACGCATGTGTGTGATGCGAATTCGAGGGGCAGGCTGGAGAAAGGGCACGCTTGAGCAGGGAACAGCATTCGCCTGTTTTGCTCCGTTGCTCCCTCCGATCAGTCCTCTGGGAGATCGGCAGAGTCGTGCAATTCGGCGGAGATCAATTTGCTACACGCACAACCATGGCTACCTCTTGCCTTCCTCCCTCCCTTCTTCCACAAAACTCGCACCGGCGGGAATCGCGCCAGCCGAGCAGATCAGCAAAGGCCATGCTTGAAACACCCACTCCCCTAGCTGCGTCTCATTGTGTAGTGTGTTGCATTCATCCAGAGCTTTCGAATGTTCGATCGGCATGACGACGCGCACCTCCATCCAGTCTGCTTTTGCCCAATTTTAGGTCAACCTAGCGCCTTTCCGCGCGCGTTGCGTACTCCGTATCAAGCAGTAGTCTCCGCGCGGTTAACGAAGCAGTAATCTCCGCACGATTAACGAAGCAGTAGTCTCCGCGCGGTTGACGAAACAGTAGTCGCCACACTATGGACGTCTACGTGTCTCTTCCGCGTCGTCCCGTCCTCACCGCTGCCACTCCAATCGCCCGTCAACTCGACCGAAATTCCGCCCAACGCCGGTTACTGCCAACGTCTTCTGTCTGCTTCCTAAGGAGGCCTTTCTTCGGGAAGCCATTATCGGATCAGCGCTTAGTGAAACGTGCCAGCCGGTTTCATGCTTCGCCGAGAGCACCTCCCGCTGCGTCCCGCCTGTTTTCGGCTTTCGTCCCCTCCTCCCGCCGTCACCCATCCCCACTTGGCCGGACGTCCCTACCCTTGTCGTTAACGTCGACGTTATCGTCATCGTTTACGTCAACCGCTAGCGGGAGCTACCAGCAGCAGCACCAGCAGCCTTCGAGCCTAGTGCCACGAAGCACGGGGGCTGTAGCACGCCGGCAGCCCCGGCTACAGGTGCGAGCGGATGCGGCGGCGGCAGGGTTTTCCATTATCGAGGCCGCCGTCTCTGGGCCGCTCCGCGACCTCGTTCTTGTCACGCTCGGCGCAGTCACAGCGCTGCTGACGGCGGCTCTCATCGTCTGGCTCCACCGACTAAACGAACGGAAGGTAACGAAGGATACCCATGGAAATACTGCCTGTTGGCGAACGCACTTTTGAAGATGTAGTAGGGCAGAATTCTCAAAAACGCCCTGCAAAGTTTCCCCAGCCGTCGCTGCGCTGCGGACGGCCGCTACCATCAACGTCTGGCTCCACTGGCTCCACGGACGGTAATGAACGCTGGAAATGCGGCCTGTTAGCCGAGAAGCGCTTTTGAATGAGTCGTATGCTCCTATTGAATGTACCCTTCTCGATCTAGTCCGTTGCTCTCCCAGCCTTTTCCTCCCAGCTCAGCTCCATGCCGCCTCTCCCGCTCTCCTCTGTTCGCCTTTGAGGTGCCTCAAAAGAAATGCCGCGTCTCCTGCTCTCCTCTGTTCGCCTCCTGCCATCCCTCGGTGTGTCTTACAGAGACCTCATGATTCCTCGCATTATTCGGAGTTAGGACACCACCAGCGCCCTGCCCTTCCCAGCCCTTCCTTCTCCCCTTCCTCCTCCTCCTCCGCCCCCTCTCCACCTGCGGCAACTGTAGCAGCAGTTGCTGCTGCAGCTGCTCTTTCAGCTTATAGCGCGGATGATTCCGGACTTGGTGGCTCAACGGCTGCTGAAGCCGATCCTGCTTATAACGGATGTGCCGCTCTGAACGGGTCTGCTTCTAACGGCCACGCTCTTAACGGATCTGCTCTTAGCGGGAGTGCCGTTAACGGGTATGCAGTGCAGAGCAGCGCTGGTCAGGCGTTGGAGCAAGAGCAGCAGGCTTACACAGGCGAACAAGGCAGTGATACAGCCGCGGAACCCGGCATGACGACTCGCACAGGCAGCAGCAGCAGCAGCAGAAGGGAGAGCAGCAAGGACGGCAGAGGCAGCAACACCAAGAAACGTCCCTTGACCAGCAAACCCGGCGCTGCTTTCTGGTCTAAAGGCAAGAGCCTGGGAAGCTTTTTTGGAGTCGGCTCTGGTGCAGCAGCAACAGCAGCAGCCGCAGCAGCAGACGGCAGCAGCAAGAGAAGCGGCGGACGAGGGGGCAGCTCGAAAGCGAGCTCCAGAAGCAGCACGAGAGCCGTTGCTGCTTCCACGGACGGGAAACTAGGCGCGCCGACGGACGTGGGCGTGGGCATGCAGAAGGAGTCGGTGGAGTGGGTGAACATGGTGGTCCAGAAGATGTGGAAGGTCTACCGGGAGCCCATTGAGACGTGGCTCGTGACCAGAATCCAGCGCAGCATCGACAAGCTCCAGCCGACGCTCCCGGCGCCCTTCTCCCGGGTGGAGATCGCGGTTTTCACTCTCGACTATGCGCCGTTTGCGGTGCGCACCGTGCAGCAGCGACCGAGCAGGAAGGCGGACGACCTGCAGTACCATGTCGGGGTGCGCTATAGCGGGGATGCGCACTGTGTGATACGCCTGCATTTGAACGTGGGCGGGGTGAAGTGGTCGGTGCCGGTGGATGTGAACGATCTGGACATCGACGCGGAGGTGTGGGTGAAGCTGAGGCTGGTTCCCAAGAAGCCGTTCGTCGCCAGCCTGTCGCTGGCGTTCGTGCGGCTCCCGACTATCAAGCTCGTTCTCGCTCCGTTCCACGTGCTTAACGTTGTCGGCATCCCGTGAGTAGTTGGCTGTGCGTGCACATACACACACGCACACACGCATCTATACACATGCACACGCGCACACATTCATGCAGACACACACACGCGTGGTTGCCCACTATCGAGCTGGTGCTCGCTCCATTTCACGTGCTCGCTCCATTTCACGTGCTCGCTCCATTTCACATGCTCGCTCCATTTCACATGCTCGCTCCATTTCACATGCTCGCTCCATTTCACGTGCGCAACGTCATCGGGATCCCGTGAGTCCAGCCTTGTATCATTCCACCCATGCCGGATCCTCGCCGTCCATCCATAGCGGGGTTTGCAACCACTCTGAGTGGTTTCTCGGTGGTTTGGCACCACCTTGACTGGTGTCCCCGACCCATGGAGAATCCTCGCCGTGCATCCGGTGAAGCTTCACATTCCACACCTCCGGAACCTCTTTTTGATTCCTCTCTCGTGCATTTTTTCTCTGGTGCCGCTAAAACGCCCCCTCCCCCCTCTCGAAACCCCCACCCTCCTCCCTCATCCTCTCCTTTCTCTCCTTCTGGCTCTGCCCACCAGATTCCTCTCCAAGCTCTTAACGGAGGGCCTCCCCCGTCTCCTCTTTTAGTGTCCCTCTACTCCCCCCCCTTCGAACCCCCCTGCCCCCTCCCTCTTCCTCCCCTTTCTTTCCTTCTGACTCTGCCCCTCCAGCTTCCTCTCCAAGCTCTTAACGGAGGATCTCCCCCGGCTGCTCTCTTACCAACCACTCCTGAACCCCCATTCCCCCTCCTTTCCCCCCTCCTTTCCCCCCCTCCTTTCCCCCACTCCTTTCTCCCCCTCCTTCCCCCCCTCCTTTCCCCCCTCCTTTCCCCCCCTCCTTTCCCCCCTCCTTTCCCCCCCTCCTTTCCCCCCTCCTTTCCCCCCCTCCTTTCCCCCCCTCCTTTCCCCCCCTCCTTTCCCCCCCTCCTTTCCCCCCCTCCTTTCCCCCCCTCCTTTCCCCCCTCCTTTCCCCCCTCCTTTCCCCCCCTCCTTTCCCCCCCTCCTTTCCCCCCCTCCTTTCCCCCCTCCTTTCCCCCCCTTCCTTTCCCCCTCTCTCTTTCTTACTCTGTCCTCCAGCTTCCTCTCCAAGCTTCTCACGGAGGATGGCCCCCCGCTGCTCTTTTACTGTCCCTCAACCATCCCCCCCCCTCATCCTTTCCCCTTTCTCGCCTTTCAACTCCCCCCCCTCCGTCTTCCTCACTCTGTCCTCCAGCTTCCTCTCCAAGCTTCTCACGGAGGACCTCCCCCGGCTCCTCGTGCTGCCGCGCCACATCAGCCTGGACTTCCTGCCACCTGGCATGGACACTGACGAGGACGCTGACGTGGGCGCTGACGTGGGCGCTGTCGCGAGTGCTGTGGCAAGTGCTGTCGTGGAGCAGCAGGAAGGCGTGGCACAGAGGCTGGCTGACGCTGCAGCGTCTGCTGTGATTGGGAGTCTTCTCAGCAGCGCACCAGCAGGCGCTTTCAGTGGCGAAACGACCATTAGCAGCAGCATCATCAGCAGCACCACCACCACCACCAGCACCAGCGGCAGCAGCAGCAGCGCCGGGAGCAGCAGTGGTGGCGGCATTATCGGAATGGGCAGCGCCATTACAGGCATCGTAACAGGCGCCACCACAGGCACCCCGTTCGGCAGCAAGCCAAAGCCCGCACCCAAGACTCAAACAGCAACGCTGCATTCCCTAGACGACCCCTCCTCCCCCCCGTCCTCTTTCTCCGCCTCCGCCTCCGCCCCCTCCGCCTCCCCCTCCCCCTTCCCCTTCCCCTCGTCCGCCATTCACGCGCCTCTCCTGGGCGACACGTCCGACGCGTTCAAGGGGGAGCTCTCAGTCACTCTCTGCGAGGCCCGCAACCTGCCCACCTCCCCGCTCTCCCTCCTCAACCTCCCCTCTTCGCCTCTCTCCTCTCTCAACCTGCCGTCTGGCCCTCTGGCCGCTTTCGCCAACCCGCTCTCGCTGCTCAGCAACCCGTACTGCCGGCTGCTGTTTGGGGGGGCGGTGGTGGAGAGCAAGAGGAATCGGCAGACGTCGCACGCGTCGGGGCCGGGGGACCCCGTGTGGAACCAGGACTTTCTCTTCTGCGTGGAGAGCCCCCGGAGGCAGAAGCTGACCGTGGTGGTGCGGGACTCCGCGCCTTTCACTCGGGACCTGGGCTTTGTTCAGGTGAGGGCCAGCGAAGCCACATAAGCAGGTGAGAGCCCGAAGCTGGTGAGAGCCGCTCGGAGCAGGTGCCGAGGATGGCTTCTTTGCTCCCCCATTCCCATCCCCCCCCTCTTCCTCGCCTCCTTCCCACCCCCCCGCCCGCCCACTGCTGCTCTTCTCGATCCGATCTTCTCTGATCCCCCCTCCCCCTCTTCCCCTGCTGGTCCCCCTGAATTGGCTTCAAGACTGCATTCCAATCTCCATGTGCTTACCAGCTTACCACTGTAACCGCTCCTCACTTTGGTCTCCCCATCCCTTTCCACCCCTCCCCATCCCACCCCACCCCTCCCCATCCCTCCCCATCCCTTCCCATCCCTCCCCATCCCTTCCCATCCCTCCTCATCCCAAACCATCTTCCGCTCCCACCATGCCTTCTCAATCCCCTCTCTCCCCTCTCTCCCCTCTCCCAATCACATCACCCCACCACAGCTTCCCCTGAACCAGCTCCAGTACTGCATTCCAATCTCCATGTGGTTACCACTGTTACAAAACGGACCTGTCTTTCCAACCTCTTACCCTTTCCAATGTCCTCTCTCCACACTACAGGTCCTCCTCAACCAGCTCCAGGACAGCATTCCAATCTCCGTTTGGTTACCAGCGTACCAGCGTAACAAGGACCCTTTAAAGCCTTCCCAACCTACTCCGTTATCAACCCCCCTCCTCTCTCCCCACAACAGGTTCCCCTGAATCAGCTACAGGACTGCATCCCCATCTCCATGTGGTTACCACTGTTACAAGATGTGGTAACCTCTCACGCTTATCATCCCCCTCTCCCCCCACCACAGGTCCCCCTAAATCAACTCCAGGACTGCATTCCAATCTCCATGTGGTTACCACTGTTACAAGACGGACCCTTCGGCGTGAAACCCGCCCCTCAGGGCGAGGTACGGCTGGTCCTCACCTACAAGTCGTACGTGGAGGAAGGCTCGGGCCGAACCACAGTCCTGGGAAAGTTCGGCAAGCCGAACAAGACGAAGGTTCGGATCAGGTTCGGTGATGAGGCAGTGGGAGAAAAGAGCTTGGGTGAGAGAAAGAGAGATGGAGATAGTGAGAGTGAGAGCGAGAGTGAGAGTGAGAGGGAGGGATGGAGTGACGGGGAAGGGGGGAGTGATGGAGAGTGGCTCTTTGGGCCAGGAAGGTTCAAAGGAGCAGCTGGAGGGCCAGCAGCAGAAGCAGCAGCAGGAGGAGAACTATCAGCGGCAGCAGCGGCGGCGGCAGCGGCAGCAGCAGCAGAGTCAGAAGCTGCTACTAGTGCAGCCAGAGGAGCTAAACAAGCGGCCGGGGAAGCGTTAAACGAGTTCAAAAGCAGGGCTACAGCAGCTGCGAAGTCCGTTGCAGGAGACAGGTGGGGGAGAGAGGGAGGGAGGAAAGCAGACGCAAGCAGCAGCAGCAGCAGCAGCAGCAGCAGCAGCAGCAGCAGCAGCAGCAGCAGCAGCAGCAGCAGTGGTGGTGGCATTGCCACTAGCAGCAGCAGCAGTGGCAGTAAGCGTGCGAGGCTGAGGCAATTTTCGTCACAGGTGAAAGGAGTTGTGAAGGCAGGAGCCAAGGCTGCTGCTGGTAAGGCGCTCAGTAAAGCCGCCCTGGCTGCTGCTGCGGTGGCAGGAGCGGCTGCTTCCGCTGCTGCTAAGGTTGTGGGCGATGGATCAGCAGCAGCAGCAGTAGCAGATATGACTGCAGCTTCTGAGGCTGCTGCCCCTGCTGCTGCTGCTTCTGCTGCTTCTGCCTCTCGGCCTGGTGGGAGTGCACCTGCTGCAGATGGTGTGACTGTATCGACAGCTGCTGGTAGGAGTAATGTGATTACAACAGGTGTCGATGAATTGATTGAGGAGGAGACGGAAATGCAAATCCGAGTGCGTGCTTATCCGATCTGTGATTGGCCGAGGACTGCCATGCCAGCACCAGCAGAAACAGCACCAGCAGCACCGCCAGCAGCAATGTTGGCCCCAGCAGCTGCAGCACCACCAGTGATAAATGATGCACCTCTGGTAGCATCCGCGGCAGTGAATGGTTCTGCTTATGTAACACCAGCAGCTGCACCAGCAGCAGTAAATGGTGCCTCTGATGTAACACCAGGCGCGGAGGTGGTTACCAGTGGAGGTGACGCAGATGGCCTGTGGTGGGCGGGAGAGGGGGCAGAGGATTTTAAAATAGAAGAGGAGGGGGAAGTAGGGGGAGAAGGAATGGGGGAAGGAGCAATCAGATGGCAATGGGGTGAAGGCGGGATGTGGAAGGATGCTGTATCAGTTGGCAATGCTGAGCCTCCTTCCAGCTCGAGCTCCCATGGTGGTGCTGCAGGCGGCATTCCAATGCCCAAGGGAGCCAATAGGTTTGCAGGTGCATCTTCAAGCGGAGCCAATGGTTTTGCTGCTTATAACGGATCTGCCCACAGCAACGGGCATGCTAGTAATGGAACGTCAGTTGTTACCAACGGAAGGGCGTCAGCAGCAGCAAATGACAGTGAAGCAGCAGGCCCAAGTGAAGAGGCTCACTCTGGAGACCCAAGTGAAGAGGTGCACGCTGGTGACCCCTGGTGGCTGGAGAATGATGCTATCACTGAACTCTTTGACGTGCTAGAGAGGCACTGAAGCAGACTATAACGAAGCAGTCTATAACGAAGCAGATTATAACGAAGCAGATTATAACAAAGCAGACTATATCGAAGCGGTCTATAACGAGGCATCAGGTTCAGATGAAGAGTGTCATGCTGGTGGCCCTTGGCGGCTGGAAAGCGACGTGATTTTGTAACTCTTTGATTTGCTGCGTGGCCTTGAAGTAGGCTATGGCGAAGCTGTTTTATAGCGAAGCAGCCTATAATGAAGCAGGTGCCTTCCTAGATCTCCCCCCTATTCCTCTGTAGTTTTCTGCTTGCCGACCAGCTTGTGATATGGTTAGTCTTTCGGTGTGCCCCCTTCCTTCCAGTCAGCCCTTTATTTCTGTATGTCCTCTTGACAGTTGGATTGAGCACCTGTGTGCATGTTTGGTGCAGGTCAGTACGAAAGGCATAAAAGCCTGGGAGATTCTGCACAGCACATTTGAAACACACCAGGCAAAGGCTTGCAACATCTTATTTACCCTGCACCAACATGTACTACAGTATCTACATATGGCATACCATCTTCCATCTTGCCATCTTCTTATCTTCCTCCCATCCCATCCATCTTCACCACATCAATCCAATCCTACCATTCTAAGCATTGTCGGCCTTTACAAAACACCATCCCCCCATGCATCCTCCTCACTGAGAATGCGAACTTTAAGGGAGCCACCATTGCAACCAGGCACCTGGAAAGACCGGGAGGGAATACGGAGGAGTAAGACTCGCTGGATATACTTACAAGTTACAACATCTTCTGAAAGAGATCGCCAGGTATGGGGTGGTAGAGGATGCTTTTGAGTCGACTCAAAAGTAGAGAAGCGAGACTCGCTGGATATACTTACAAGTTACAACACGTTCTGAGGGATTCCAACGTTTGATATGGGGACACACTCACAAGTGGGAGGACGAAAGGGGCCGTAAAGTGACTTTTGAGTCGACTCAAAAGTCACCTTATATGGCAGAGGACGCACTCACAAGTGGGAGGACGGAAGGGGCCGTAGGGATAAGAGTGGATAAATGGGATGGATGCGATGGGTAGCGGGACGTGAGGGTGCGAAGGTAGGGAGAGAGAGAGACAAATGCGGAATTTGAGGAGTGGGCCTTACTACAGGGCAGATGCAGCTGCGAACAAGGTCGAATGCGTTATGTCTTGTTGAATTCTAGAAAACATAACACAACGGAAAATGCGGAAGGTGGGGAGTGTGTCTTACAGGGCAGATGCAGCTGCGAATGAGGTCGGAGCCACCCATGGCACGATACCCGGCCTGCAGACACGCAATGGAGATGGGAGTAAACAACAATCAAGCAACTCAGATGGGCGCAACAACAAACCACTAAACCGACCGGCAGGTCTAGTTTCGAGGTGCCTCAAAGCCAGACATGCAATTGAGATGGGAGTAACATGCCATGGGAGTAACAAGCTACTAAACCAACCGGCAGGTAACGTGGGGGTATGCCGTATGCGAGTGGCTCAATCAAGCACGCAAATTTCTGTCATGTGCGAAAGCATACCGGTATGTGAGCCACGCAATGTAGTCCTTACCTCGCTCACTCCTCCCTCCACCTCCATCTCCACCTCACACTTGCAGCATGTCCCTTCAAAGCAGCACGTCCCTCAGCAATGTGATCCTCACCTCGCCTCGCTCACTTGGTCCTTACCTCGCTAGCTCCTCCCTCCACCTCCATCTCGCAGTGGCAGCACGTCCCTTCGAAGCAGAACTCCTGAGATAAGAAGGCGATGAAGGACGATGGGAGAAGAGAGAGCCACACGGGAAGAAGCTAAGAAGGGCAAGGGGTTGCAAGAGGTCGAATCTGAAGCTCCTGATTGGACGTTTAGGACAAGGGACTAGCCGTTTTCGTGCCGCTTGTCACCGGAGCTCCATGCTTGGTATGGTGCTACGAAAACAGAGGTGGCGACAGCAATGGCAGGAGGAGCAGAATTGTCAGTACCTTGGGGTTTTGAGGCGTTCTGAAAAGCCGTACCTCAGTGGGCTTCATGGCTCCGCATCTCTCAGCCAGCTGCAGAAGGTTCTCGCCCTCCCTTGACTCCACTGTGATCTGATGGGGGTGTGCGTGAGGGGCGGGAGGAGTGGAGCACCGTGACTTATGAGCCTAGTTTTGAGGCGCCTCAAAACTAGACTCCACTGTGATCTGGTGGGGGTGTGCGTGAGGGGCGGGAGGAGTGGAGCACCGTGACTTATGAGCCTAGTTTTGAGGCGCCTCAAAACTAGACTCCACTGTGATCTGGTGGGGGTGTGTGTGAGGGGCGGGAGGAGTGGAGCACCGTGACCTATGAGCCTAGTTTTGAGGCGCCTCAAAACTAGACTCCACTGTGATCTGATGGGGGTGTGAATGAGGGGCGGGAGGAGTGGAGCACCGTGACTCATGAGCTATCACAAAAAAGGCTGCACATCTTTCGGCTGGCTGCAGAAGGTTCTCCTTCTCCCTTGACTCCACTCCGATCCGGTGGGGTTGCGAGGGGCAGGAGGAGTGGAGCACCGTGACGCGACTCATGAGCCGACACAAAGAAGGCTCCACATCTCTCGGCCAGCTGCGAAAGGTTCTCTTCCTCTCTTGACTCAAATCGGATCTGGTCTGAATGGCGGGACGAGTGGAGGATTATTGATTACGCTTGCTGGACGGAATTGACACAGGCACACAATATTTGGCCGAGGTTTGTGTGTGCTACTTAGAGTTGGGAAGCTTCAGCCATCGGACTGGGCGGGACGCTTATTGGACGGAATGGACATAGGGACACACACAGTACTTTGCCCGAGGTTTGTGTGTGCTTCTTAGAGTTGGGAAGCCGAAGGACGTACTGTGTCGGATCCGAGGTCGAATTCTACAGTGATTGGCTTGCCGTTGTCGATTCTGCAGGGATGCATGACGTGTGCAAATGCACATGCATACATCAGTGTGCATACATGATACACACATGAGACACACGCACACATGCATGCACACACGCACAGACGCGAACACGCACGCACGCACGCAGACACACACACACACACACACACACACACACACACACACACACACACACACACACACACACACACACACACACACACACATATGGCGGATGTCTCACACCTGACCTGGTCCAAAGAGTTTCCCAACCCTACAGAAACGACTCAGAACGTGAGAGCAGGCGAGCTTCGGGACATTACAAGAACGTGAGAACAGGCGAGAGCAGGCGAGAACTGGCGAGAACTGGCGAGAGCAGGCGAGAACTGGCGAGAGCAGGCGAGAACAGGCGAGAGCAGGCGAGAGCAGGCGAGAAAAGGCAAGCTTCGGGACATTAGAAGAACAAATTGTGGAGCGAGAATAGACGAGGTTTAAGGAGGTTCAAAGTTGTGTTACTACTTGGGTCCGAAGTATGTGCCTGGAGCGGCTCCCTCCTGCAGCCGCTTCGCTCCCACGGCTCCCGCCTTGGGACTCGTGAACGTGCTGTCCCCGCCTGAATGCGCAGGGGAAGGAGGCGGGGGAGAAAGGAGGAAGAGGGGGGGGGAGGGGAGGAAAAGGGGGGGAGGGGGAAGATGAAGACTTCGAGACAGTTGTGAATGCACTTTAACAGCTTTTGAAAACAGCTACGCTATCTCTTCCAGGCTTGGGAAAGAAATGAGTAAGATTTCCAAGAATTTCCTAATGTATACTGGATCGCTGAATGTCATCAGGATTCTTCCATCCTGGTTCGTAGCGTACTTCCCTGAGCCTAGTCAACCCGAATCTTGGAGGTGTATTTTGAGTCGACTAAAAACACACCTTGCGTCGACTCGAGATACACATTGGGTCGACTCAAAATACACTCGAAATGAAAATACACGCTGAGTCACCTTGGATCTCTCTTCCATCCTGATTCGTAAGGTACCTCTCTGAGCCTTATCAAACCGAATCTTGAAGATAAGCCTGGCAAAATGCAGGAACAAATAACCGTTTCTGCAGTTATTGGTATCTCAAGCCACACTCACTGGCTTGAGCGGTGACTGCTCGTCTCCTTGGTCTGAGGTGATCGCGACTCAAACCGCTAGCCAGAGCGGTGGCTGCTTGTACGGAGAAATGCAGTGCCTCCATGAGGAAGATCAGCGACCGTAAGCGACGACGAGCGACGGTAAGCAAGACAGTATATGCGACTACTGGTGTTTAGACTGGCTACTTGGCTACTGGCGTGTTAGCACAAATCCGTCCTGGCAGCAAAAACTGGCTGTCTACTGTGCTCTTGGTGTTCTGAAGAAACGGATATGACGACACAGGCACGTGCAGGATTCCCAAGGTTCAGGCGAATGATCAGGAAAGGGAATCAGAATATGGCGCTGAGCGTTATAACGCGGTTATTTTCATCACAAGGTTGGAACTAGCGTGTAGCTCCTCGTAGTCGCCTTCATATAACCACATGTAGAAAGAAACGCAATTGTCCCATTCAAATATTTGTCAATGCATTGGGAACTGATCAATGCATCACATTTATAAATCCCGAAATGAATCAAATACCACAAGGAAGCGAACAGCATATGCAATATAAAATTAGGGGTAAAATCGATTCATATCGGATAGCTTTTACTACGTCCTGTGGACGTTTAATCGAGTGCTCCAATTGCTGCAGCTAGCATGTGATTCTGGCCATTGGCATCTTTGTATCAAGGATGGAAAAGATGGGACATGCTCAAGTATATCATGTCCACTAGTGTAGAAGTGTGTTGTATAACATCTCCAGCCACGCATCAGTCACTCCACCTTCACACCAATGCCGGCAATCGTCTCGCGTGGATGGACTCGCCCCTCCTGCAAATAGCGACACCAAAACCAAAAACCAAAGGAGCTCTTAAACCCACGCGAACATGATATGTAAGGTCAGATCACATCACCCACATAGCCACCTAGTGTTGCTACCATTTTCATATATAAGCTCCTATTTCATCTACCCAAACAAGGGCCAATGTCGCAATTCCCCAAAAGCGGTTCTCACCTGGATCCATCCATCTCTGTATGTGTCCATCTGGCCGCCAGTCACTCATGGGGCCCACGTCCAGGTATTGAATAGGAGATTCCAAGAGCACACGCCTCTCCACCTCTCTGAACCGCTCAGTATTGCTGTCTCCTTGACGAACCTCCTGCGCCTGCAGCGGGGAATGCAGATGTCACACGGTCACAGTACAGTCCAGATTAGATGACACGGCTAGAAAAACAAAAGAACTTTCTGCTCAAGTTGGGCTATCCGAACTATCAGTCAGTCCGAACACGCCAAACACCTCTTGGCAATGACACAACCACACACATAGCACACATGTGCTAACACATGGCCAGCTCCACGAAGAACCTCAGTGTTTCCACGCCGGCATTGTGTCATGCACTCCCACACCCACAGTCCCACAGTCCCATTGTCTCTTTCACTCCCATGCTCCCTCTCCCACATGCCCACACTCCCTGTTTCCTGAGCCTCACCTCCAGCCACGTGAGCTTCTGGTTGACCTGGCACGAGCCCCCAGCGACACCTTGCAGGGGCACGTCATAGTGCGTAGGGGAGGCGCCCAGCAGCACCGCCGTGCCCTTGAAAGCACGCTGCTGCGCTCGCTCCACAAAAAACCTCAGCGTCTGCAGGCCGATCTCATAGGCCTCTGTGGTTGATATTGTGGTCAGCTCCGTGTCCCCGATAAAGAACTTGTTGCTGCGAGACCACCACCAGTTGGTGGCCTGTAGGAGGGAGGGTGATTGTAACAAAAAGTGCTTTTGAGTGAAAAAACCTCAAATTTTGCAGGCCAGGTTCGTAGGCCTCTGTGGTGGATACTGTGGTCAGCTCGGTGCTCCCGATGAAGAACATGTCTTGTTGGTGCGAGACGCCCACCAGTTGGTGACTGCAAGGGGGGCAGGTGTGCGAGGAAAGCTGGCTGGGTTACTTACATACATTGACCCCCCAGAGATACCTGTCAGTTGGTGGACTGCAAGGGAGGGCGGGTGTGCGAGGAATGCTGGTTGGCTTACTTACATACATTGACCCCCCAGCGATAACTGTCACTCGGTGGCTTGCAGGCCGATTTCATGGGCCTCTGTGGTGGATACTGTGGTGGTCAGCTCGGTGTCTCCGGTGCTGGTTGGGTTACTTACTCACATCACATTGGCTGTGTTCTGCAGACAATTTTGGAAGGTTCCAAGTCGCGAATAGAAGGTTCCTCAACAGCGTTTTTTGTTTCTGTTGTTGCCCTTGTTGAAATCACTAGCGCGCTTCAGTTGTATTTTGAGTCGACTCAAAACACACTTGTGGAAATCACTTGCGCGCTTCCCCCAATTTGCCTGCGCAGCTTCACGATGTGGTTTGGGAAGGCCCAAAGTGGACTGGGTGGGTGGTTACCACTACATGCGAAATGACATGGGCTACTTCTTGAGCTCCACCTCCACCGCCTACTCCACTGCCTGCAAAACCCAGCCATTGACCCTCCCCCACCACCGATACCTGTCAGTCGGTGGCTTACAAGGGGAAGGGGGAGTGCGATAAGGCAGCCGATGCTGGCTGCTTTTCACAAAAAACGGATCCGTCTGCAAGGTTAAACTTGTATTGTCTCAGGAGGTGAGAACGAGTGAGGGGGGGAGGGGGGGAGAGGGGGTGGGGAGGATCAGATGACTTGCCTGGAAGACGACAAGGTATGCAGAAGGCAAGAGGTTGAGAATGGCACCCTGCAGCTGGTCCAGATTCACCCGCGTGCCGAAGATGGGAGAAGAGGAGGAGGAGGGAGGAGGGGCGGAGGGTGAAGGGGAGGAGGGTGAAGGGAGGAGGGCGAAGAGCAGGGGGTTCAATTAACTTGCCTGGAAGACGACAAGGTCTGCAGAGGGCAAGAGGTTTAGGATGTCGTCCTGCAGCTGGTCCAGATTCACTCGGTAGCCACCGACGGGCGACGAGGAGGATAAAGGGAGGTCCGTGGCGTTGGTGAGGAAGTTTGATGTGACTGAAGCGACACGGATGTTGTAACGAGGGATCTGAAGCGCCAGACGGAGGGGTTGGAGGGTGGTGTGGGAGAAGGGTTTGTGTTCGGGTTTGAGATAGGAAGGGCAGGATGATGTTGCAAGACTATCACCGAGATCTTATGTGCAATCATCGCCTGCATGCCATGTGCGACTCACCTGCATGCCGTGTGCGACGACGCTGCCCCTGTTCTCGAAGCGAAGCGGCTCTGACAGGTTGGGACTCGACGAGTGCAGCACGCACATCACCGACGTCGCGAAGTTTTTCGCCACACTGTCGCCAAATACGAGCACGAGCTTGTCGCGAAGCTGGTTACGAAGTAACTTGGGAGTCATCCGCCGAGTCCTACACGTGTGAGGCTGGATTTTGGGAGAGAAGGGGATGCCGAAAGGAATTAAAGAAAAAGCTTTCGGCAAGGAACAACAAGTGACGCTACGATTGAGCTACGGCTACTGAAACGAAACGAACTGTAACGCGTACCCGCCATTTGAGCTTCTGAAACCACATGTCCTGGCGGCCGTTCTTCTGGCAGTTCTGGCTGGAGCGAACGTACGGGCAGTTGAACCCCGTGTAGAGCGGAAGATTCCTCCCGCCCACCCATTCGCCGCTGGTGATGTCGCACCCCCACTTAGACGCACCCGTTTGCGTGCCTATAGCGGGAGAAATCGAAAATTGGAATTGAGAAAAGAAGAAAAGGATGTCGGGCAGTTGATCCTGGGCGGGAGATTCCTCCCGCCCACCCACTCGCCGCTGGTGATGTCGCACCCCCACTGGGGTTGTAGCAACCGGAATCTAAATGGCATTTAAATGCACCTTATTGCGTGCTTTTAGCAGGACAAAGCGGAAAATGGGGTTGCGGAAAAAAAGAGGGGGGATTAGCGGACAGTTGTTCCCCGTTTAGAGCGGAATATTTCTCGCGCCCAACCATTCGCCGCTGGCGATGACGCATTTTTCCGCGTGCTTTTAGCAATTTTTTAGGCGCCTCAAAAATAAAATTTCCGCATGCTTTTAGCAGGGGCAGGGGAAGGGGAAGAGGGAGGTTGCGGGTTAAAGAGAGAGTTTGAAGTTATTTCCTTCCCAATGTGTAATGCTGACAGCGTGAGGATACCCGTTATGAGAGTGGACCATGATGTGGACTTGACTAGTTGGCCTCGTCTGGACGTGCCGCAAGGCAAAGCAGGATGCCGACGAGTAGACAAGCTGAAAGGGAATCGGATGTTCAAGCCGACTTGAGTTTTGTTTTGGGGCGCCTCAAAACCGCGTGATAGAAGTATAGTTTTGAGGCGCCTCGAAACAAGGCCGACGAGAAGACAAGCTGAAAAGGAATCGGGTGTTCAAGCCGACTTGAACGGATCTTCGTTTTGAGGCGCCTCAAAGCAGGAGGCCGACGAGAAGAAAACCTGAGATGGAATCGGGTGTTCAAGCCGAATTGAACGGATCTTACTTTGCGAAGGCCAGGCGATCCACGATGACGACGCGAGTGAGCAGGTTCCGAGCTCGAGCAACAGCGCCGTGACGAGCAGCGTGGCTGCTTGAAACCGTCGCTCAAAGCTGTCTCTCCTGGCAGTATGACCTCCCATGGCTGGAATTATTTAGGGAGGTTTGGCTACGGATTCGAAGTTTTAGCGTGTCCAGAAACACACAACGCGGGACTTAGCAATGGATGGTCGTGAGGTATGCAGGCTGCGATGTGCCTGCTTGTGTGCTCGCTTTCTTCCTGCTGCTTGCTTCAACTTGGGGGAGGGAGAGTACGGATGTTGATTTTCCTTGTGATCGATTTTCCTTGTGTTCGGTGGAATGGAACTGCAAATGTGTACGCTCGCAGGGGCGAGGTTTTGCAGGTTTTGGATAGGTTATAGTCGGTGAGGTCTGGTTAGAGTCGCGATTCGGCCAGCTCAGGTGGCACCAGCAAATTTGCAGTTCGCGGCGCGAGGAAGAAGCTGATACTGTACGTAAGTGGTGCTGCACAAAACTGTAGCCGGGAATTATAGCGATGTTCCCTGGTTGATTCTAGCGAGTCTCAGCAATCGAACCACTGCGTCAGGAAAGCGCGGGGGAATGTCTGGCAAAATCCAAACGACGAAAGCTTGATTTCGCCTGCTGGCAACAAGCTTGACGAATTTCCAACATTTTCGTCCCAACTTCCCGAATCGTTATGGTTTTTCGCAAGGATGTGGTTACAGGCTAACACAATCACTTCCAGCGCTCGTGAAAACCTGATCCTGGAGACATCCCCTTCCATCTCATCTCATCCATCTGTCAGGACAGAACTCGGGACATCAGGATTCAGGACAAATCCAGTTTGTTACAGGCCGGCTGAAGATATCTAGGTTTTTGGATTTCTAGGTTCCTAGGTTTTCCTAGGCTTCCATTGTCAGTGCCATTGACAACCCTAGCCTAGAAGCATTGACATCAGACAGACAGCTTTGTCCGTGTGGTTTCTTGTCATGGTTTCTTAACGAGCGGTTATTTCTTAGGTCGTTTATCAGTTTTCGTTAACGGTCTTGGTTGTGGTTTCTGCTGATCTGAACCAAGCAGATTCCGCCATGGATCAGCATCAGTATCCAGCATTTTCGCCAATATCAGCAACCGCTACTCGTCTTACCTTTGATAACATTCCGCTCAACTCCCCTCAGCTCACCGCTTCGAAATCTTCCATGAAGAATGCCACGCCGAAGGTTCTTGACACGTCAGCAGCACCTGGAAGCAGCGCCAGACGCAGAAACAGCACACCAGGCTTCATTTCCGCCGACGGTGCCGACATCGTAACCGTGGATGGTAACCCGACTTCGCGAGGCAACCCGTCGCCGCCTGTGGCGAAAGATGCATTGGCTGCCATCGCTGCAGTGTCGTTGAAACCAGCTCCTCCCAGGTCGACCGGACGGCAGAACCGAGCTATAGTTCCGGTTGCGGAGACGAGGCTCGAAGAGGAGGAGCAAGTCTGGCAACGGTTTCGCGAGTCAGGGTTGGACGAGGTTGCGGTTTTGCGGAAAGAGCGGGACGCGCTGATGGAGAAGGCGAACTCGCTGGACCAAGAGGTAATAGAAGGCCGCTTCTGTTTTATCGGTTTTTCCTCCTTAACGCTTGTCAGCTGGATAATGTGGAAATCTCGACATTCGGTATTCTGCTGGTGATGCGTTTCCGGACGAATCGTGCCTCTATTTTTCTGGTGCGGAAATGCCCATCTGTTTAACTCGACGTACTTCTATCTGATTAGATTCTTAATAATTCTCTGCTTCTTCTTTTCGCATTTCTTGTTCCTGTCAGCTGTACGAGTACCAGTACAACATGGGTCTGCTTCTGATGGAGCGGCAGAAGTGGCTGCCCAAGTACGAGGACGCGCGAGCAGCTTTGGAGGAGGCAGAGGCGGAGCTGCAGCGCGAGGCGACGGCGCACAGGGTCGCTCTCGCCGAGGCCAAGGAGAGGGAGAAGGCGCTTCAAGACGCGCTCGCCATCGAGCAGGACTGCGTTTCGAGCGTACGTTCTCCCGTCTCCCGTCTCCGTCCCCGTCTCCGTTTCCTTGTCGCTTATTGCCACGTCGCTGTTCACACGCCCCCTCCTGCTGCCGCCCTTTCCTCTTGGTTCCGCTCGCTCTCTTTCGGCGTCACACATTTCGTCTCTTTGTCACGAACCAATCAAAACAGATGCCTGTTTGGTGCCTCTTAAACAAATAACAATCATCTATTTGTTTATCTTTCGCAGATGGAGCGAGCGGTGAAGGAGCTGCAGGTGGAGGTGGAGGAGACGAAGAAGCACGCGCAGACGGCGCTCGCGGAGGCCAATGCCACCATGGCGGTTGCGGAATCCAAGCTCCAGGCGGCGGAGGCGGCGAGGCTGCAGGTGGAGGCGAGCCGGAGCGAGGCGAGCAGGAGGATCGCGGAGGCGGAGAGGAAGCAGCAGGAGCTGGAGGCCCGGGAGGCGACAGCCAGGCGCGAGGTTCAGGCAGAGAAGGACAGGTGAGAGATGAGGGTTGCGGGGTTTGGCGTTTCCGAGGGGAGGTTTGGGACTTGGAGGGAAGGAAGGGGAAATGGGGGAGATTTTGGGTGCACTCTTTCGACTCTTGAGGTTTAGCTTGAACCGCCTCTAAGAACGGTTCTCGGTGTCTGTTTTGGATTATACACGTTTGCCCCTTGTTATGTTCGGATGAGTCATATATTTTTCTTTTCTTTTTCATGGTGTGCGCCACTGGATGGCTTGTGATGTTGTCAGGCTGGACGCCAAGGCACGGGAGATGGAGGCTCAGAAGGGGTCTCTGAGTGACTGGGAGGCCAAGCTCAAGCAAAGGAATGCGAAGATACTGGAGGTAGGGGGTCAGATCAGATGTTGTTGCACTTGCGTGCTGGGAATGACCCGCAGTAGACGATGCTTTCTCAACGCGCTGGGAAGATGCCATTTACTGGACACGCCGTTGGAAGTGACGGTTTTAAACTGCCGCTGCACGTGTGTGTGTGCGTGTGTGGTTATGGCCTGCAGAGTGAGAAGTTGCTGGATGCGAGGGAGGCGCGCATAGCGGCAGCAATGGACGAGCTCAAAGCCATGGAGCAGCAGGCGGAGGCGCGCAAGGTGGGCCTGCAGGAGGAGGCGCGGCGGCTGGAGGGTGCGCGCGAGCAGGCGGAGGCGGCGGAGGAGCGCGCGCGGAAGGAGGGGCAGGCGGTGGCGGAGATGAAGGTGGCGCTGGCGAAGCGGGAGGGCGAGCTGGCGGTCCAGGAGGACATGCTCGTGGCACGCGAACAGGTATGGTGGCTGCGGCCCCGGGGGGCTGTCGTGCAGGAGGGCTGTTGTGGCTGACTGGCTCTAGTGAAAGCGCTGCAGAGTCTATTTTTGAGGCGCCTCTAAAACTGGCTCTAGTGAAAGCGCTGCTCTTCTTGTATGGCTCTGGTGCTGTTTGGTGCTGGTGTCCTTGTGTTGGCTGGCGTATGCATACGCCCTCTCAAAGTTCTGTGTCCGTCTCGTCCAACCTCCACTGTGTCTCCCACCTTAAGATGGTGTTTTTAGAGCTTAAAGACACCACGTCTTTGTCCGCTACTCTTCCTTTCGTGACCAGGACGCGGTGGGGCGGGAGATGCGCGCCAAGGAGGCGGAGCTGAGGGTGGCGAGCGAGCAGGAGAGGGTGCGCGAGTGTAATGTGGTTCCAAGCTTCGAAAACCATACTCTGTGCCTTTCTACCATCTCTCTCTCTACTTTGCCACTCCCTCCGCTCTCTCCTTGCCGCCAGGACGCGGTGGGGCGGGAGATGCGCGCCAAGGAGGCGGAGCTGCGGGTGGCGAGCGAGCAGGAGAGGGTGCGCGAGTGGGAGGAGAGCCTCAGGAAGCGGCAGGCTGCGTTGGACGACCTCAAGGCCAAGCTGGTGAGCCGCAGTACTTGAGACCTTGCATGCTTCTTGAAACCCTAATTTCCTTCTGTAGGGATGGTTCGAGAAAGGGAATTGTGTGAGTGTGCGCGAGTGGGAGGAGAGTCTCAGGAAGAGGCAGGGTGCGCTGGACGACCTCAAGGCCAAGCTGGTGAGACACTGGGGCTGAACAGATTTCGAATCCGACCTGCTATGGTGTTGCATGTGTCGGGGGTCGCGCTTGCAAGATTCTCTGACCCTTATCTTCCCATCACGAAGAGGGAAAGAGACTCTTTCTTATTCTTTCTTCCCTTTTTGTGTTTGCTGCTGCTGCTTGCTTCTTGCCTGTGTCTGACCGCCTCTGTGTGCTGCCCTATGAGCAGGCGAGTGAGAAGAAGGGGCTGGACGAGGTGGAGGCGTCTCTCAGCAGTGGGCGCGCGCAGCTGGAGGAGATGCAGGCGCAGCTGCAGAGCAAGGAGAGGGCGCTGCTGGTGAGATGGGAGGGGGATAAGGGAGAACTGGGGAGTGGGGGTGGGAGGAAAGTGTGGGGGGGAGGGAAGGGAACGAGAGGGGGTGAGTGGTGGTAGGGGTGGGGAAGTCAGTAGGCGGGAGCTGTTTTCACTACCAGTATCATAGAGCTGTCTGTCTTCTCGTACGCGTTTCATTTGCTGGAGACTCTTGATATCTGCTGTCTTGCAGGCGGAGCGGGAGAGGCTTCAGGCTCAGGAGAGCGAGGCGGAGGGCCTGCGCACGCAAGTGGCGCAGAGAGAGGGTTGACTTGCATCTTGTGGCGCCTTAAAAATCCCTTGTCTTGCTTTTGCCGTATGTGGTCTTACAGGCGGAGCGGGAGAGGCTGCAGGCGCAGGAGAGCGAGGTGGAGGGCCTGCGCGCGCAGGTGGAGCAGAGGGAGGAGCTGGCGGAGCAGCGCGAGCAGGGCGCGCAGAGGAGGGCGGAGAGGGCGGGGGAGAGGATGGCGGAGGCGGAAGGGCTGGTGGCGCAGGCGGCGAGCAGGGAGAGGGAGGTGGAGCAGAGACAGGCTCAGCTGGACAAGGAGTTGAGGAGGTGAGGCTTACGTTTGGCGCTGGGGGTTAATGGTGGGAGTGACGGGGATTTTTGAGGCGCCTCAAAAGACGGGGATTTGAGGCAGGTGGGGGGGTGGGGGGCGCAGGGGGAGGATGGGGAACGGCAGGGATTGAGGGTGGGAGGTTAGGAGTGTGGGGGGGCGGAGCCGGTTGGGGGCATTATGGTTGGTTGTTATTTAAGCTTCATGTTGCAGCAATCGTTGTGGTTTTTCTGGCTAATAACTTCCGTTTGCTATGTGCTTCATGCCTGAATTGCTCTGTTAATTTCCCTGGCGTGCAGGTTGGAAGCAGCCAGAGCAGAGGCGCAGACGGAGAAGCAGCAGCTGGAGGACCTTCGGGAGAGAGTGCGGTCAGAGAGA